AATTAATCTAATTTTAGACACCTCTTTTGCCCCTTCTGGTACCAAGGCATAATTTCTGGAGGCTTGTGCAACCACAGACTTGAGAAACACTTCCTTATATATTTGAAAGAAGATGACATTGACTATCTGAAGGATTCCAATTAAGCACAGGATGGCCAGGATACTTTCCCTCTCAACTTTTGGTAAGTGTAGTGATATTTTCATATGCACTTTGTTTGCTACCACCTTTCCTTTCCTACAATTCAACTCAAGTTGAGAAGACCAGCACAGTGAAAAAGTAGACTGCTTTCTCTCAAATCATTGTGCTCTACTTTCAACCTATACTCAGCATGCACTAAAACAACAATGAACCATACTTTTAAATTGCAAATTAAGAACTGATAGCTGCATGGGATGCACTCCAGGTACCTAAAACCCTGAGTTCTACATTTCTTCTTTGAGATGCTTTTTTATCAAAATCTCTGGAAATGTAAATCTGTAGATGGGAAACAGTTGTCTTAAAAATATCAGAAGTGTATGGTCTGAATTCGTGATTAAGTTGTTAAATAACACAGTTACAAGAATTTTTCTGTACCTAATGTCCTAGCAGAGACTTTCCTTGGGGATAGGAGTAATTTACCTTATAATTTCCTGATGCGATTTCTTTGTGTCTAAATGTTTAAGTCATTATGCATCTGGCAGCATTAGAAACCCACAGTAGTGTTCCTCTGTGTTTTATGTGGCACCTACCACAGCAGGAGGAGCTGGTCCACAAACCCAAAATACCAGGACAGTAACGCCGTGATAGATGTATATTATATTTATGATAATAAAATGTGGTAGCAGTGCTACTGGTGTTTCTTGGTGACTTGGGTGAAGGCTGGTTCAAGTGTTGTCCTTCCAACACAAACAGTGTGATCTTGGGTGTATCCATTGCTCAGGTGTTCTTTCCTGCCATGCTTGTGAATGGGATTATTAGAATTTCCTTCCTACAGGGATGCTTGAGATTAAATATTTTGCAAAGCTCGAGATACTGGGATCCTACAAAAACAAATGCAAAACAGAAGTTCCTTAAATCAGATTTTTATCCAATCTTGAGGCAGACTTTGATGAGGCCCCAAGCCTGTGCAAGTTGATTGTATGAGCCTGAGCTGAGAGCAGGGTGGTGAGATCTCCTCTTGCAATACTGGAAAGGAGTTAACAGCATCTCAAGCTGCTTTAGGAATGGTACCACGGGGTTTCACATAAACGGGGGCTTGGTAGGGCTTCTCATGTCGTGAACTTGTATAGAATATAACAGAAAAATAAAAACCAAAGAGCTTTTAAATTTAATTTTTCTGTTCCCTTCAATACAAAACACTATTTTCTCCTCCCCACCCCCCATGCAAAAGTGAAAGCTGAGCGCAGTCACAAACCTCCCTCTTGGCTTGTTTTTATGAGACTAAAATGTATCTTTCACATGGGGCAGGAAACCTCCAGTGCATATCATTCTGGTCTGTCCTCACATGGCTTCAGAGCCTCATGGTGCCCCTTGTGCAAGAGTGCTGCTGTAGTTGGCTCCTGTGCCTCCTGGTGATGCATCCAGTCCCACCCCATCCCATCCTATCCCATCCTTGCAGACCTATAGGTTTCAAAGCCAGTTACAAAGGAAGGCAGTGATTACCAAACCAGGGTGTAAAAAGAGAAGCAGCTTGCCTGGTGTCATGCTTGAGGCCAGCAGAAGTGAGAGCTACATCCAGATCTCTGCTACCCCAAGCCTGCTTGGCTGCAGTGCTCCCCTTGGGGGTGTGATTTGGCATATGTTTCTCTGGGAGCTGGAGCCATTGAAAATGTGAAAACTGTAGTATGTATTATTTATTTATTTGTCCAGTCTTAACTTTTCTGCTGCTGGGTTTTACTCTCTGCCACGCTGCTCGGCTGCACAAATATTTGCTCTGGGAAACAGTGGGAGGAGTAGCTCAGTGTGATGAATATGAGACTGGGATGGAGTAGAGGGCTAAAGCTGTTTAAATTGGCTTAAGCTGTGCTGTTGGTCAGTGTCTAACTATGTCTTTTGGGCAAGCAGTGATTTAAGTTTTGTGGAAATACTCATCCCAGCAATGGGCAAGGTCACTTATTCTTCAAGCCAAAATTATAATTATCAAGAAACCTGATGCGGTTCCAGGGATGAACATCCACCTGCATTCTCTCTTGCTAAATATGTTTACATTTAACATATGCTTTTAAGAAAATATGGCTTCCATATTTAGCTTAGAAACAGCAAAATGTTTTCATAGCTTGTGCTCATACATCTCTACTAAATGATTTTTTCAATTTAGTCGATTGCCTGGATAAGACTGTGTTGTTTCTTTCCCCTCTAAAACATAACTATTAGACTTCCTTTAATAATTAAAATGGCACTCTCCCAGTGCCACTGTTACAGTTCCTTGTAACTGCTGGTTTGCACCTGGGTCAGATTTCTTCCTTCCACGCCCCATGATTTCCAAAGGGTTTTGCAGCACAAGAAAAAATGCTTTTAGGTGTAAGATTGGATTAGTCTTAAGTTGTTGGAGAGAAGGAATATACATCTGTTGCAAGAGGGGGAAAATATATAGGGACTAAAGTAACAATGCAATGTTTCCTCCTCATGGTTTTTTTTCATCTGAGAAATACAAATGAAGACATTTTGAGCTGTAGTGAAGATACTTTAGTAATTGATACCTTTAATCAGTAAGTCATAAAAAAAATGTGCTGCTGCTGCTTTTTCCAGATTTTCCACTAAAGCAGGCTGCAAAAATAAGATAATAAACTACAGCTAATAAAATCGTACGTGGGTAGTTGCTCTTTAAACAATAAACTGGGACCTAGTACCAAGATCAGTATTTACAGAACCATAGTGCTGTCTACTCTCTTGTATGGTTCCGAATCATGGGTCATCTACCGCCACCACCTGTGTCTCCTAGAGCGCTTCCATCAATTTTGTCTCCGTTCAATCTTAAACATCCACTGGTCAGATTATGTGACCAATACATCTGTTCTAGAACAAGCAGCAATCACAAGCATTGAGGCCATGTTGATGAGAACACAGCTGCACTGGGCAGGGAACGTCTCCAGGATGAAGGACCACCACCTCCCTAAGATCTTGCTTTATGGTGAACTTGCCACCGGCTGCCGCATGAGAGGAGCCCCGAAGAAAAGATACAAGGACTCCCTGAAACAACATC